GTGTACTGCCTAAAATATATTCCAAATCACACAAAGGTGTCCTCTCTCACCTCTACAGTAAAGTTCAACGGAGATGCTACTCAAAAGACAACCTAGACAAGCTCAGATGCATGTTGAAAGACACTAACTGGGACTTATTTACAGAACAAACATTAGATGAAACAATCACAAACACTACCGATTATCTTAAATTCTGTTTCGAAATATGTTGTCCTAAAGAAACATTATTCATTCGATTTGATCGCTTATCTTCGCCATATCTCAAAAAGCTACGTAGAAATAAAGAACTGTTGTTCAAAACTAATGATAAGCCTGGTGTAAAAAAGTTAAACATGCTGATAAAACTGGAAATAAAAAGACTAAGTGTTTTATATAATCAAAGATTTTTGTCATGTAAAACCCCTTCTAATTTATGGAAACTTTTCAAAGAAATTACTAACGGTAAGCGATGTATTTCTGTTCCATCTCTTAATGTTGACACTCTTAATAAATCTTTCATACGCTCTTCTGTTGATACCCTTCCAAATGATACAAATCATATTGACAATAACTTTAGTGGTTTTAATACCCTTGATGTGCTTAAATGTCTCCGGTCTCTTAAGCCTTCTCAAAGCCTTGGTCCTGACGGCATACCTGCCATTGTCCTCAGGAATTGTGCTGATATTTTGTGTTATCCTCTTACTAACATTTTTAATGCCTCTTTTTCCGGTAACGTTCTACCTTTTGCATGGAAAAACATTAAAATTATCCCTATACCAAAACCATCTTCTGGTTCTGATATTAAATTTCGGCCTATTGCAATTACTTCCCCCTTTTTAAAATTGATGGAAAAATTACTTTTACTTCGTCTTGAACCCGCTTTGAAACCTTTTAATGATCCTAAACAATTTGCATACAAACATGGTAGAAGTACCTTGGATGCTGCGGTTGTCTTATATCACAATGTTGTCTCTTGTTTAGACAAAGGTGCTAAATATGTTCGTAGTGCTTTCTTAGACTACACATCTGCTTTTGACTCTGTACCTAGGGGCCTTTTGTTAAATAAGCTATCGTTGACACAAACAGGATCCTGGGCTAAGAGTTGGTTGCATTCCTATTTTTCTGATAGAATGCAGTATACTGTATATAACGGCAAATCTTCTTCTACCTCGCTTACAAAATCCGGTGTTCCACAAGGTGCTGTCCTCTCTCCTTTTCTTTTTTCTTTCTTCCTACATGACCTACCTCATTCAAACGAAACTAACTTTGTCAAATATGCAGATGATCTGACTGTATCACTGCCTATCACTTCCGAGTCTGACAGCTCCAAACTTAATAGCTTTCTGTTGGACATCAACAACTGGTCCAAGTCAAATGGTCTTATATTAAATCCTTCCAAATGTCAGGTGCTTGACTTTACTTTCAAGCATCGACGTGACTTACTTGAACTAGTTAACTCTCATGATCCCTGTAGCATAGATGGCACGGAAATTGAAACCAAATCAAGTATTAAATACCTTGGACTAGTTTTTTCCTCTGACCTTTCATGGTCATCCCATATCTTATCTATCTCTAAGAAAATGTTTCGTCTTACCTTCTACATTAAAAAGTTAAGACAATCAGGTATCAACCAACCTTTAGTTTTGCAATTTTTAAACTCCTGTATTTTACCTATTGTACTCTACTGCTCTCCATTAATCTTTCCTGGGCTTCTCAAAAAAGATTATATCATATTACGAAGAGTATTAAATGCTGTGAGTAGAGCTTGTGGTCTGCCACTGCATGAGCTCGCTAATACTATAGTCGAGAGGCATATAAATTCCTGTACGAAATGGGCAAAGGCTATAATGTCAGACCCTCTGCACCCCCTTTATTCACACCTGTCCCCTTGTATCTCATCAGGTAGGACGAGAAGTCAATATAAAAAGATATATGCTCGTACTACTAAGTATAGAAATTCTACAATACCCTATTTAGCGCGTACTTTATGTGACGAAGACTCTGTTAGACGTGAAACTTACAAGTTACTATGTAATTAGCACAGTGAATCGACCCTTTTATCGTTCATCTTTCTGTATTTTATGGTGTCACACTTTCTATCGTTTAAATCGTTACTCTGCTATTTTATTTTAGTTGGTATTACTATTATTACTACAATTTTGTACTTTATACATATTTTTCTCCGTATGGCACACAGTATTTTGCTACGTAGCTGCTACAACAATCGTTTTATTACTATTATGTATTGTGTATTTTTAATTTTTTTTTGTCGTTTTTGGGTAAATTAGATGCAATATTGTACTGAATGCTGAAAATTCCTTGCTGTATCATGAGTACTGTTTTTGGAATAAAGCAATTATTATTATTATTATTAATTTTTGTAATTTTAAAGGTTTAGGGGAAGGGGAGCGAAGTAGTCCCGTCTATGCAGTCATGTAACGATGGCCAAGGAAGGTAAGTAAAGTGGCTGAACAAATTTCTTCTGAATATACACACAGGTTTGGCTTGTTCAGGTGGATTCCTATGGCTTCAGCTCTGTGTGTGTGTGTGTGTGTGTGTAGAAGACGAACTGGTAGATCGAAATTGAGATTAGTAGGGACGCGATAAATAATTTTACATGCAGTCTTAACTAATGTCAACCTTATGCTGACTATCTACAAGGTGTGCTACAATAGAGCTGCTACGAATAGATCTTGTTTGTCTCTTGCTTAACCACCACTACACTGGATGATGTTCGAAATATGATAGTAGTTTGTGAAATGCTCTCACTGCTAATGTCTCTTGGTAGAAGTTACGAATGTACGGTTGGTTTTGCCGAGTATACAGTAAGAATCTCAGAAGTATGCAACATTTCAAGATGTCATAGTGTGGTGAGAGCTGTCTGCCAAGAAGCCGAAATTGTAGGCAACAATCAAAGTCAATGTTCACGTCTCGAATCGGGGTCATGAGAAAAAACACTAACAAAGCTTAACCTTGAGGAACTCATCAACAAATCGCAGCAGACATAAGGGGTGCAAACACGATTTGCAGATATATGGCTTAACTTTCTAAGAAACAGTCACATGTAGTACAGGATAAAGTTCAGCAAGAAAACAACAACAAGCAATCAGAAGAGGTTGTTTCTCTGCTAACAATAGCGGTAATAATAATAATAATTTGTAAATATCTCTTGATTTTCTCAATTAACGATCTGTCTGGCCTGGCCCTTGTCTTCTGTCGCTACAATATGACTTTTCCCAATAATGCATTTGAATAAAGCAAGAACGATAAAATGTACCAGGATAATCCGAGTTTTTTTTTTAATTTTTATTATTATTTCATGGATTCTTCTCAACTGGTCACACAACCTGAAAAATAACAAAATTATAAGTTAAATTAAAACATCTGAACATATTCTTTTTACAAGGAGTAATAAGGAGTAATTGATTGGAACTAAGAGTAAGTAACACTGGTCAGGAATGATGTAGTAAGTTGTTAGATAATCAGGGGAGTGAAAATGAACGGCCATTTACAGAAGAATTGCATGACTACGCTTGGAAGCTATAGGAGAGTATAGTTCCCAAGATGTTTTGTGGGTAGAAACAAAGTTTGACTCGAAGGAGTATAAAAGTAATAGGTTACGCAACCACAGAAAACCCGTTTCCATAAAATAGACAAAATTGAGGCGGGGTAGGACGAGTAACGTTTAGAAGAAAAATCAAGGTTTCTAAACAGAACAGAAGATGACGCAGTGGAATTTGTGTGCTTGTTTACCACCAAGGCAGTGCAGGATTCACCACCACTGTCTCTTTCTGCCAACATAGATTTGATTTTAGTCGTTTGATGGTGAATGCCCCAGTAAAACGAATCAGGCTGATTTTCTTTTGTCTGTTGATTATTTTGAATGACTTCAGACTGTGTGCAATGTGGCCAGTATTCAGTAGATGGCGTGGAATCGCACTGTTTAATTCTTGTGTGCTCTTTATTCTCAGGTTCTTTGGTGTGTTTTCAGAGATGTGGACAATAACTCTTCTCTCTGTTTTTTCAATACATACTTTAATACGTACATGTGAATTGGAGGTGGTGGTAACATGAGGTGGAAGTTTATCCACTTTTGATCGTCTTAAACACCCACTGGTCGTTTAATAAACACATAAAAGCTTGGTGGTTTGACATGTTTTTGCTGTGAAGCATTCAGTCTGCATTTTATTCTCTCAGTAATATCATCACCTTTGAAGTCAAGCTGTAGAAAGATGGGCTTTTTCGCTCTACTTCACCTTGTCAATACTACGTTTTCCACGTTTGTTGATCAACTTCTGTGGGCAAACATTATCACGCGCAGGCATTTTTCAACAGTGAACAGTTATACCTCAACTTTTTCTTCCTTACACGATCAAACGGTGTTTTCATCAATCACTTTTTGTAATTTATAGGACAGATGCTTTTGAATTTCAGATAGATCACCCTCCAAATTCTCCTTTACATAGATGTAACTTATGATTTTACCATCTTTTAATGACGTTCAGTGCCAAGGTCTAGAAAGTGAAATTGGTCTTCATCTCCGCGCACTTCATTGTAAACTTTATATTAGAATGAGTATTATTCAAGATTATTAAATATTATCACGCTAATCATTATGATGAACATAATTTAGTAACAAAATATTCACGTGAATCATAATGTAAAACAGAACAAGAAAAAACACCGAATATTTCACGATCAATGAAGATATTCAGGAGAATATTCATGAATCAAGTTGATCATCAGCAGTGGATTGTAGTAGAAATCTATTCCAACCCTGTTTAAACCTTCAGTAACTGATGTTACTCCGTGCAAGATTTGTGGATTACAATTAGAAAAAACAACAAGTTTATCACATGTATATATGCTGTTCAAAAAACTTTGATCTAGATGAAAACCTGTCAGGGGGGGGGGAGGAAGAATTCAGCATTTCTGATGGACTCAACACCTTTGATTTAAGCATCCATTTATCAGAGATCATAGGTGATATATATATCTACCCATTTTAAGGAACCATCAAGTCAGTCAACCCAACTTTTCCAACTTTGCCATACACATGGTCCAAATAGGCCAGTGTTGTCATCCCGGCTGTACTGTTCATCATTCGTGTGATTTACTTGTCTATTTACACAATTTACACAATTTACACGATAGTTGAATGCATTCAATACATTTAAACAATCCCCCACTGAAGTAAACGTTTCACCTCCAGTTACTTCCGGTTTATAATGAGACAATAATGAATGATAATATTTTAGAGAGATATCAGAAGCATCTGCTAGACAATTCTGACTATTCTTATCAATATTATACCGAAAACATGTATAGGGCGTATCTGATAGACGATGAAAACAATAGTAGTATTGACTGCAAGGTTGCTGAAATTGTTTTTCAGTAGTATGCATATGTGTCAGGTTGTTATGTGATAAATGCGTGTTATTATTATTATTATTATTGTCGTTTACTGTCTTGTCCTTCATTTCTTGCATTAAGATTGTGCTTCGTGGCTTCAACTGTGTAGATTGAAATGGTACTTGGTTTTCAGCAGGAGAGAATGATTTGGACATCTTTGATGCACTATTAACATTGTTTGAATGAGTGCTATTCACCATGGGGTGCTCTATAAAACAGTGAATATATATATATATATACGCATATATTGAAATGTTATCGAGTTTAACATGACAGAAAAAAATACCATTTACGATAATATGATGTAATACTACTACTACTACTAATAATAATCTACTTTATTCCAAAAACAGTACTTATAATACAGAATGGACTTCTCAGCACTTGTCACAATATTGCCTCTGATTTACTTAAAATATAAATAAAATTGTAAATTAAAACAAAAGTAACCAGAGGAATTTGTCCACGTTTACGATATGAAGTCAAAAATATTCAAAGCACGAATTGAGCATATTAAATATAATAGTAATGGTAATAATAATAATAACAGTGAGTTTGTTTCAAACAGTATTGTCGATTCAGTTTGGAAATTTTAGCATGTTATTATAGAGTATTGATTGAATCTAATGTTTCTGTTGATATAGTAGCATGGTGAGGGGAAAGACAAAAAATAACAATTATTACACACACACACACACACACAACTTAAATGATGTTCCCACTTATAGAAAAAAATGAACAAAAACAAAAAATTGAGAGGATTATGAATATAAGAAATACAATAACAATAAAGTTTGATGGTATAAGGTTGGAGGAAATGGTTTACTTAGTAGTGCGAAGAAGGTCAGGTAGTCAGTTCATGCCTGACACTATTTCCATCACATAAAGTACGTGCAGCGAAATATGGTATAGCGGAATTTTTAATACTTAGATGTACGTGCATAAAGTCTTCTGAAATGACTTCTTGCCTTACCTGAGAAGGAGACACAAGGTTGGAGCTGTGGGTGCTGTGGTGGGTGCTCAGAGTCTGATATAATTCCTTTAGCAAATTTGTTTTATGACATCAGGTGCCGGTCGTCAGTGATAATGTCAACGATATGGCCCAATAGGGTCCCACTCACACTACTGACTGACTGACAGTCTTCAGAGTGCTACGAAGTATGACATTGAGAGGATTATAAATATAAGAAGTTCAATAACAATGAAGGTTGATGTTGTAAGGATGGAGGAAAATGGTTTAATTAGTAGTACAAAGAAGGTTAGTTAGTTCATGCCCAACACTATTTTTATCACATAAAGTACGTGCCAAATAAAATATTATGGTATAGTGGAATTTTTATACTTAGATGTACGTGCATAAAGTCTTCTGAAATGACTTCTTGTTCTACCTGAGGAGGAGACACAAGGTTGGAGCTGTGGGTGCTGTGGTGGGTGCTCACAGTCTGACGAAACTCCTCCACTTAACATCAGGTGCCGGTCGTCAGTGACAATGTCAACAATATGGCCCAATGGGATACCACTCACACTACTGACTGACTGACTGAGAGTCTTCAGAGTCCTACGAAGTATGACATGGTCTTCCCTTTATGGAATCCAGGAGAGAATAAGCAGGGGTGAACAGTAAAGAAGAATAGGTAAGTTGCACACGAGTTAATAAAGTTTAAGAGCAGGAGGGGTTGGATTATGCCTGACTGCTTTAACTTCTTAATGTAAAAAGTCAGACGGAATATTCTTTTAGAAATCACTAAGACATGGGAAGACCAGGATATATCAGAAATAACAATTAATCCAAGATACTCGACTTCAGACTTGATTTTTATGTCACTATCATCAATTTTGCAAGGATCATAGGAACCAACGGTTTCAATTAACTTTCGTTTACGTCGGAAACTGAAATTGACAATCTGACATTTGGAAGGATTTAGTTTAATATCTACAATAAGACGAAGACCATTTGCTGACTGCTGATAGAAAGCTATTCATCTTAGTACAGTCTAGCTGGGAGTTAACAGATATTGAAATAGTTAGATCATCGGGATACTTAACAAAGTTCATTTCTTTATCACAGTGAGGCAAGTCATGTAAGAAGAAAGAAAACTGTAAAGGCGAAAGGACAGCGCCTTGAGGGACACCAGCCTCAGTAAGCAACTAAGTGGACGACTTTTCCTGACTGACATACAGTGTACAGTGTACTGTACTGCTTTCTTCCTGAGAAATAAGAATGCAGCCATTTGACAACCCAACAGTCAGTTTGAGTTTCACCAAGTTTGATTAATAAAACAGTTACTGAGTCGAAAGGAGTTGTGTAATCTTGGAAGATGCAGTGAACAAATTTAGCCCCCTTGTCTAAGCTGGAGACAATGTTATGATGCAAGACTGCAACTGCATCTAATGTACTTCTACCGTGTTTATAGGCGAATTGTTTGGGATCGTTGAAGGCAATTGAATGTCAATGATATGACGCAATACTATTACATCTATGCTTAGTTTGTGCATTTCTACTTAAGTAAACTATTATACATAAATAAGATTAACTTCAGGCAGTCTCATTTTTGTACGTTCAGTTCTGGATTTGTTTTTCTTTCTCAGCCACCAATCAAGAATAAACCAAAAATATTCCCATATATTGTTGTGTCATAAGACAAAAGAAAAAGAAGACGTAAACAGCGAGGAAGCGTTTATTTTCAAGTGTTGGTTTGTAGGGATTTGATTGGTCACAGGATTTCATGATGAGCTGACGTTGGATAGAGGACCATTAAAAAACCACCTGGATGAATAGACAGCTGTTTCATCAGCCTAGTTTGGGGCTCTTCATCAGTACGCATCCACCGAGGTTCTTAACCAAGGCCCTCTGGTTACAAGGCGAGCTCGTAGATAATTTAGCCACTGGGACCCGATCCAATGACCCATGAATTCTAACTTCTGCCAATTCACCACATAGCGCGACTACTAGCCAATGTCTTTAGCGAATTCATGGGCCATTGGATCGGGTCCCAATGGCTTAGTGGTATACGAGCTCGGCTTGTAACCAGAAGGCCTTGGGTTAGAACTCACGTGGATGTGTACTGATGAAGAGTCCCAAACAAGGACGGAACGGCTGTCCAGTACTCTCTAGTTGGTTTTCCAATGGTTCTCTAACTAATGTCAGCCCATGATAAAATCCTGAAGCTTTTTTTTTTTCAACGTTTCATTTTCATTCGTAAGATGCGGTACAATAATCGCAATTATGTTACACTTAACACAGAATTCATAAGACGACCGATCAGGTACTGGTAGCATTTCTCCTCGAGAAACGTATTACCTAATGCAAAGTGTAGTCTAGAAGGAGTGTGTGATTGGAAATAACAAAAGGAGGAGACAGAAGTTGGCATGACGTAATAAGTGTGAGAAAATGACCATTCGATGTAACTGTGTAGAGTGGCTGAGAACTAGTCGAAGGGCGATAAAGTGTTTCTTACAAAATCTATATTAGAACGCAATGTTTTAATAAACAGTAGCAGAGTGATAACAAGCAATTCAAAGTGCTTCGTGATGGTGAACCAGACACTTAGCATGCCGGCCGCATTATACACCTGACTGGTAGAATTAGGTCTACACCAAAGACAGGATTATAAACACACACATTACACTAGTTACCGACCAGTCAAACAAAAAATATCCCATACAGTCGTCCTACAAGAGGTCAATCGCGATCCCGAATAGCTTAGTGGTGGTAACATCTCTGAATTCAGGCAGCTCTGAGTGACGCGGGTTCGAATTTCTGAAGGCACATGAGTTGTTCCATCATATTGGTTGCAGATACGCGTTGGTGACTGACTGTTGAGTGTCAACTAGCCCGAAACCTATGTTCACACAGGGTTTCCTGTGGGGCCGATTGCTTCCCGCCATCTAATAAATTAAATAATTAGTGCCTCAGAAAGAAGCTGCAATAGTGACACTTGCTATTTTGCACAATTCAAGTGTAACTAATACAGATTTTTATTCACCAGAAAACTTTCATGAAATTTCAAACTAGATTAAAGTTGTAAGACTTTATTATTTATTAGAATGATGAGTTTTGTAAGAAAAACGGTTGGTGCACAGCAATCATTTCACACAAGTGAGAATTCAAGCTGTTATGATATATGACGAAGAGCATTGAGAAAGAAACGACCACAATAATCTGTTGTCACTACTCGGAATATTGTAGATGTTCAGAATGCATCAGCAACAAGAGCAGTGGACCTGAGTAGACATTCGTTTAAGGCAGTTCAATTCAAAGAGATAATTTCAAGTTTGAGATTTCATCCACGGTCGTTCTGTCCCATTTCATGACTGCTCAGCAGTGCGTGACGCACGACTCCGATATGCATTGAACCAGGGATCTTCACATTAGGCGAACAAACTCAGCGACTTGAACGGCTGCACATCGGTACAAAGTTGTATGTTGAAAACAGACAGGCGGACGGACAGACAGATCACCAATCAGCCATTTGAAATGGAAACCAATGAACTGTGAATTATGAGTTTTCGTGTATTGGTTTGTACGGATTTTGTTTGACTGGCTGGAAGATTTCTTCACGAGCTGACATCAGTTAGAGAACCGTTGGGATGCCACCAAGGAGGACTGGCCAGCTCTTCCGTAAGCCTAGTTTTGGACTCTTCCTCAGCAGTACTCACCCATCGGGACTCTCACACAAGACATTCTGGGATCAAGGCGAGCCAGCTCGTATATCCTTAAGCCACTGGGACCAAGTCGAATGACCACACCATGAATTCTAACTTCTTCGAATTCATGACATAGCGCGACCACTTCTTAATGTCTTCTTCGATGAGTTACAGCCTCACCTGCAGCCTGCTGCACCATACTAGCCACAGCTTACCACTAGAACCCCAGATTAACAGCCGGAAAAGGGCCAGTCGCTAATGAGCATATTGTGTACTCATGACGAGTCCCAAACTACGATGGAACAGCTGTCCAGTACTCTCAGGATTTTCAATGGTTCTCTGACCGATGTCAGCTCATGATGAAATCTCCCAACCGATTATCAATTTGTCAACTGGTGATATAACACCGCTCGCTGTAACCAATGGCCTTGGATGAACATCCACTCCACCATGAAACATGATAGATCCAACTAGACAAAACAGGAGATTCATCGAGAAGCAATAGTCTGCATACCAAAGAGATCAGTTAATTTAGTCGTCATCAGTTGGACTAGTCAATTA